AAAAGGGCTCCAATCAAGGACCTGCCTGGCCCATTAGGTACCTGAGACAGTGACGAAGTGTGTACCATAAGATCTCATAGTAGGTGAGGATATCTGTTTTAGGTAGACAGAAGGTGCAGGGGAAAAACGTATGTGACTAAATGGATGGAGTAGACATGAAAATTCTTCCCTGAAGAGAAATAGAATCCTTTTAACATTATGAGGCCTGAGGCTGTTGAAGCAGAGAAAATGCTAAAGGGTTCATTAATGTTCTGCCACCAGTGCTGCTTGCAGGATTTTGTAGCTCTCTGCAATCTTGAAGCATTGAAATTGTTTCTTTCAGCTTCCTGATCTGGTCAGCCTGCCCATGTTTTGCATCCTCCCACTGGGAGGGATCAAAGCTTACTGAGAGGTGTCCTTCAAATACTAAATCTGTAGTGCAGTTCAGAGGTTGGGAATATTAAATTATTAGACTTGTGCAATAAAGAGGGTGCATGGTGAGAAGATTGCTTTGCTCTTCTCCCCCTCTCTGTCCTGAGCAAGCCTGGGCTGTCAGCAGGCACTGTTTGCTCATTGGCAGTGGGGCCAGGGCTCTGCTCCAGGGCTCTGATCTGCCCTTCAGAAACTGGGAGCAAATAAAACATTGGTTTGATTCCCAATCCATCAAACAAATGCAGACAAGTAGAGCCGTATGGGATGGAGGCCATACTCCAAGGTTGTCTGGCAGCTCGATTGGCCTCTCACTGGACATTGGCCTGTGTCTAACCTGTGCAGCTCTTGGGACATGGGGCAGCTTCTGTTTCTCCCACCAGTCCCCTCTGGATTATGCAACACCTGCAGATTGTACTTCCTGCATCCCTCTTTGTCATGGGCTTTTGTGCTGCTAATGCCAATGCAGCAGCAGAGTTGCTAAGATCAGAGATGTCCGCAGAGACACAAAATCAGCATCTGAAGTTTCAGTGTGGTTTTAATACATGATCATATGCAGGATGACATAGCTGGTGCTTCTTTGCTTGGAAGCTCATTTCCCCTCCTGCCTGCAGTTGCTAGCAGCCATGTGGCATCCTGACATTTCATCTTTATTAACTTCTTGACAGATAGCCTTTTGGGGTTTATTGGGAGATTAATTGTTTTCAGGAAGCTTTTAGACTGTTAGCAGGGTTTCATCTTTTCTTTCTCCATCCCTTCAAACAGGAGACTTGAATAAAGCACTGAGATGTATTAAAATGATCTGAGGATGCCAGTAGCATCACTCTTTTCAGTGCCCCCCCGCTTTTCTACTCTTTGCAGCCCAGAGCCAAGAGCAATGAGGGGAGATCCAGTTTTGAGAAGAGCACCAGCTGCAGCCATCATTGCAGCCACTTTAGTTAGATCTTCCCAGTGGCATTTTTCCAGGAGAAAAAAAAAAAAGAGCTTACAAGCCTGGCTATTTTTTTTATAGTCAATGCATGTGATTAGCAGTATTTATAAAAACTGTGCAGAAAACAGCATCTCAGGAAAAGGAAAAGTACACGCAGATGCACTGAGCGAACGGAGAAATTAACAGACTTTGAAGTCAGCAAAAGTGCCTGATTAAGGATTTAGAAACCAGAATTTTGCAATTTGGCTGTGCTATGGGTTTCTAAAGCACAATTCAATGATGGCTTTTGAGGCCTACTGGAAGCTGTTCTGTAAATTACTTCATATGCAATGCCATCTGAAGACACTGGCCATGTGATTGTTTTCAGGGTGGAAAGAAAGAAACTTCACCAGCAAAAATTTTAAAACAAAATGGGGGGGGATGAACTTATGTAGCCCCCTCAAACATTTCCTTTCCCCCCCTTCAAATTCTGTGATTTCAGCATTTTCCTATGGGCTTTGCCCATAAGTTTCTATCACTGGTTTGTTTATTTTTTGATGTCTTTCCTTATAAGATAAGGATTTAAAAGAATATTTTTCCATTCCTATTTACTATAAAAAAACAGTAGCAAATTGCTCATTTCATAACTAATTCAAGCCCAGCAATTTTTCATTAGCATAGGAATTTAAATTTCCCTTGTGCTTCACTGCAGAACTAGATTAACTAGAACACAGAATGGGACTTGGAGCTTTTTACTACTAATCTGTGAGTTCAAATGCAGGTTGGCAGAATCCAAAGTGCTGTGATGATCTTCTTCAGCAGCCTCTAATATGTTTTGGAAACTGCACAGAGTATAATGATAAGGATACACACACAATACGTTTCACCTGATGGCATATAGCTAGATTATTGTTCAGTCCCTGCAGACTGATAGAGATGTGCACAGAGATGGTTTTCCATCCTTTTTAAGATGTAATCTTCTCAATTTAGCTGTGTTTATTTGAGACTATAAAGGGACTCCTTGGTAGTCTCCCCGCTGTACCCATAATGTGGTTTGGAGCACACAGAATTACCAATCCTGCATCCACTGGAGATAACAAACATTGTAAAATTAAGGATAGTCTCTTCTGTTATATATATGTGTAGAGGGGAGCACAGTAGGATGAGATTCCTCATTAACTCTGACCAGAGAAATACACAGAATAATTCCACTGGGGGAGGGTGACACTAAATGACATCCAAATACCAAGCCATGAAAAGGTGCCAGTTTTTATCCAAGTATTTTATGCATTCTTAAGTACACAAGTGGAATGAATATGTCTAAATATTCATTGCCTAAGGTGCCTTTCTTTGACATCAAAATCAGTGTGCATAAATTCCTCATTTTACCTGATAGCTTTCATTAGCTCTCCATCTGTAATCCATGCCTCCCGCTGAGAAGGACAGAGCCACAATGCTCATTAGGACTCTCCCTTTAGAGGAAGTCGAGTGAAAAAGCCTTAGCCTTTTATGCTATAGCAGAAGGTGAAAATGTTACCAGATGAACAATTCTTTCCAGCAGTGCTTTGGCTAGTCTCACCATGTAATTGAAAATGTATTGTAAGCCATCAAACCCCATTATTTCCCATCCAGGAATCTTTACTTTTCATCCCCTCACTCATCCAAAGACATACTCGCTCAGGAGAGGTGCAGAGTCAGCAGGAAAGATGGATAACATGAATAATTAAAATAGAGGTTGAGTTCCCATTTGCTACTGAAGAGAAATGGTTTGCACAAAAATAGAATGAGACAGGGAGTCAGAGATTCTCCAGAAGGGTGGCTGTTATGTCTGTTGGCATTTTTTGCCTTTCAGGAGGATTGTTCATGACAGAGATATTAAAGTATTTGGTTTAGAATGGCAACCTATCATAATATTATTTGGAAACACTCTGGTGAGGATAACACCAGAGAGATGTGTTTGGCAAAGGTAAAAACTGCTGACAAGTAGCACCTACCTAATGCATGGGGATGTGCAGTGTACGTGCATGTGAATTACCCCATGGAAAAGTATATTTCACAGAATACTATCTTGGTAACAAAAATGAGCACTCAGGAATCATAAAATTGAAAAATTAAGGTTAGATTCAATTTTTACTGTATTTGTGCCAATAAAGACTACCAAGTGCTGTGTTTTCATATCTTTCTTCTGAATTCAGTGCTACAATTGAAAAGTGCTCTTCTGTTCAGTAGTTTGTTTTCACTGCTCAATCTTTTTTACTTATTTTTTTGCACAATAAGCAAATTTTTTTTTTGAAGAGAAGATAATTTTTCTCAGAATACTTACCACCCCAGCCTCACATTTTTGCAGACATTATTAAATTTATTTTCATGAACCACTTAGAGCTAAGGGGCATGTCATCACCCCCCCTTTTAGAGATACAGCCTTGAGGTACTGAGATTACAAAAATCTTGTTTTGGGTGATTAAAGTGTGAGAGATTTCAGAGAACTTAACTTCTCAGTGTGCAGAAGACTTACAGAACAGACAAAGCATGATGACCATTACTGCATTTGCAACAGAGGCTCAGCACATCTATGCATGTTAGGTTGAAGAAAGCTTCATTAATGTAATGTATGACTGTATCACTGGCATGACTAAAGTCCAGTTTTCCAAAGCAGCATTATTCTGCCTGATCTTGTCACTTTCTGCAGCCTTCACTTGGTACCTTCACATCTTTCATCACCTGAAACACACAAAGCAAGTGCTCTGCAGGCACCTCTCCTTCACAGAAAATAAGCCCAGACTATTTGGAAGTGACTCTTACATATTGAACGAAACAGGAAACCTTGGGCGGGGAGAGGCGGGAGGAAGAGTATGTGTTTTTGCAACATAATGTGTGTCTCCTAACGCATTGGTATGAGAGGACTGAATAAAGAGCAAATAAGGAGCAGCAGCTTGGGTTTGGTCCAACTTTTTTTGACTGCTCTTCTACAATAATAATATCTCTTTCCTGTACTTTATTCACACAGGTCTCTAACAGAAGAGGAAGAAATTCCATCACTAACTACCATGATGCGCCATCAGCGAGCTGATAATCTCCAGACTCAGACCTTGCTGCTGCCAGCGAGGGAAGGGCTGATCTCGGCAGCCTCTGCAAAGGCCCGGGCAAGATGAGTGCCTGGAGCTACGCTAGCGTGACACAAGGGTATTGGACACTGTACAGCAGATTGGTAGATTGCAGTTGTCAATCTAAATAAAAAGCACGTAAATCTTTAGTGCATGTATATTCTTTCACCCACTGAACATTGTTCTGTTCTTCACCCTGTAAATGACCGATGGTATCACTTCAGAGCCAAAATGCAAAGGACCAAACCTCAGGACAGGAGCCATGCAGTATTCTGATAGCGTGATCTCGAACATCCCATATTATTCCCACATGGCAAACTAAATCAGAGACACCCCAGCCAGCTCAGCCAGGCTGAGTGTGACGCTGAGCAGCAAACCTGCGGCCCGCCTCTTTTTTGCTCTGAAAGTGACCGGCAACTCCCAGAGAGTCAAGATCAGGTGAAAACGACCGCGCTTCAAGCACTTCAAGGTGCTTCTCTGTCCAGCAGCTCCGCGCTGGAAGGAGGAGACTCCTCCCCACACCGCCGGTCCCGCCCCGCTGGCGCCGCCTCCCCTCTCCGAAGGCGCTTCCCGCGGCCCGCCCCGCCCCGCCCCGGACGTGCTTGGCGCGGCCATGGCTGCTGTGGACATCAGAGGTAGGCCCGGCCCGGGGCGGCCGCTCGGGGCTCGCTCCCTGCGGCTCCGGGGGGCTCTGCCCGCCGCCCGCGGGCGGGGAGCGCCCTCCGTGGGGCACAGCGGAGCCCCTCTGTGGGGCACAGCACGGCGGGGCGACTTGAGGAGGCGGTCGGTGTGACGCTGTGACGGTCCTTGGAAACTGTGCATAAATAGCGTTGCTAATGAACCCGTGCGGTGAGATGAAAAGCTGCTAAAAAAACCCTGCCAGTTTTCTTGGATATGCAGCAGGTTAGGAGGGTGTGCTGAGGGCCAGCAGGGCAAAACAAGCCTCCTTCTGGTAGGCTCTGCCTTTTCAGGTGGGATCTGACCCACCATCCCCTTGGGTGAGATGGTGCCATAAGGGAATAACTAAAAAAAGAGAGTTTCAGCTCTGAAGTCTGGAGGAAAGTGGGAAACACGGGCACGTGTGTGGGACTTGCATGAGACCAGAGCAGCGAGTGAGGCTGGTAATCTTAAAAGCATTTCAGGTGGATGTTATGAGGGAGGCCACGTTTTAGGAAGACCAGAAAGCAAGCTGAAGTAACTGAGAACAAGAAACATTTGTGTGAGAATTCAGGACTATGAAAAAAAAGAGATAATATTTTGAAGAAGGGGTGATATTTGAATAAAGTATTGAAGAAGGTTTATGTTGTAATCAGAATATAAGTTAAATTACTGTGAATAATTTGAACTTTGAGAGAGGAATTGGGGGTTGAGAAGGCAAGAGAAAGGAAATTATTTTTCTTCATAAGGGTGCCTGCTGACGTCCTCTTCCCTAAACCAGCTCTCTAAGTAGGACTTTTTCGGTCCTAATGGAATCACATCAGAAGCCTCTGTGGTGGAGTCTCAGTGATCAAGAGCAGATATTTAGGGAAAGCTTGTGAAGAATCAATTTTGATAATGCCACAGAAGTTTTCTTCTTTTTTCTTTAAATTCTTAATGATATGCGTAGTCCTGTGTGTTTTTCTGACTGCCTTATTTGAGATTACAGGAAGGAATTATTGGGACATTTAATGGAGAAGCACTGTGGTAAATTATTAACTGGTGTGAGGACCTTCTGTCTTAATCCAGGTCATTTAAGCTCCTTCAGAGTCTTTTATCTGACATGATTCAATAGATTAAGTAGATTTGGAGGCATACGTCTGTTTTTAAGCTGTCTGCTGTGGGTTAGCCCTTGCTGGATGGCAGGTGCCCACCAAAGCCACTCTATCACTCTCATCCTCAACAGGGCAGGCAAATATAATGAAAGGCTTGTGGGTTGAGAGCAGGACAGGGAGAGATCACTCACCTGTCATGAGTTACTGTCATGGGCATACCTGACTTAATGTGGGAAAATTAATTGAATCAGATTAATTAAATCAGAGGAGGATAATGAGAAATAAAACAAAATCTCCCCTCTATTGTCCCTTCTTCCTGAGCTTAACTTTACTCCCAAATTCTCTACCTCCTCTCCCCTGAGCAGCAAGGGGGAACAGGGAACGGGGTTGTGATCAGTTCAGACATGCTGTCACTGCTGCTTCATCCTCCTCAGTGGGAGGACTCTTTACACTCTTCCCCTGCTCCATTGTGGGGTCCCTCCCATGGGGGACTGTTCTCCATGAACTTTTCCAGTGTTGTCACGAAATGGGCTCTTTTACCCATTGTGCAGGAAGCCCATCCACACGCAGAGTTGAGGTATTTGATTTATTGCTCTTAAATATAGGCTCTGTACCAGCCTATGCTCCTGAGAATGAGGCTTCTTTACTGGTGTTAAATTCAGATTGACAGTCTCTGAGCAGCCTTCAGTACTGCATCCAGGGTGACATTTTTGGGTTCCTCTGAAGCCTGGTTCATGCTAAAAAGATTTGAGCTTTCCATGCCTTTTCCTGTGAGATGTGTAGCTGTACAGAGTTCTCAAAAAAAGTTATTTGACTAGTTAACAACAGTGGAAGAGGACTTTCTGTATGTAGAAACTTGTGAGTCAGTTTAGTCCAGTTGGGCACTCCATGAGTGTCAAGAATGGCAGTAAATCTCTTTTTCTCAATTGTTCCAACAATCAGTATCGTAACTTTACTTAGCAGGCCCTTGCAGCTAGTTATTACTGAATGTGTGGCTCTGCTGTCGAAGAAATCTATTGCTCCATTCCCTGGTTGTACTGGAACTGGGAGATCTGGGGATGCCCTGGTGTTTTCCCCCAGTCCCCTTTCCTCATTGTCAAAAATTCTCTAGCACCCTAAGGTTAACATCAGGCCAAAGGTGGGAGCCCTTTTAGAGCCCACCACCCCTGCCTGTTGCTCTCCTTTCACCGGCCTTAATACAGTTCTCTTTTCTTTCACAGTAAAAAGATATTTCACATAGCCTTCATAACTCCCCAGTTAGGATTATCAGTCAGCTTGACAATTCCAAAAGTTGGTACATTCCAGTAAACCAGATTTAAGCCTAGCCACTTTGGTTATATATTTGAAAAATGAATGGGGCTCAGGTAAGGTTGAAGCTGATAATAATATTCCCTGAATTCAAGAAGGGTTAGAAATTAAAGTAGGATGGTGGATGATCAATGGGTTTACCTATAAAAAGGCATCCCAGTTTTCTGTGCATCATACAGCAAAACCAGCAGTGAAAAATCCAAAATTTTACACCTCTGAAAAATGGAATTGTTGGTATAATTTTACCTTATGCCTTTGGGCCCACAATAATGTGGGAGAACCATTTAAATTCAAAGTAGATATTGCTGACACTAAAACAACTATGTTTTCAGGAATCAAAGAAGATGAGAAAATTTTATCTCCACAAATTTTTGAAAATGACCATGTGTGATCTAAAATACAGGTCAGCAATGAATTTTGTTTAATCCATCTTGGTCTCCTAAACTGATGGAATTAATAATGCAGATGAATATTTTGCACTTAAACCAACCTGCTTACAGTTTTTAAGTAGTTCCTACGCAGGATGGGTAGCTTGGTTACATGTGTGATCCCTCATTTTTCCAAAATGACCAAGCCCCAGGGCTGGGTCAGGATGGACATCACCCCCCAAGGGACTGTGCTCTCTCACAGAGAGCATGGCCTCTGACCTGCCCTGTCCTCTGGGCCAGCTTTGAGAGGTAGACAGGACCTGGCAGCTCTGCAGGGCCTGGCAACTCGTGGGGCTGCTTGGCATGGCTTGTATTGCACTTGGCATTGGGAGAAATGTGAACGAGGTGCTCCAGTGTGGGTCCTCCAGGGTCACAAGTCCTTCCAGCAAACCTCCAGTCTTGGGCTCCTCTCTCCATGGGACTGCAGGTCCTGCCAGGAGCCTGCTCCAATGATGGCTTCCCTGGGGTTTCAGCCTCTTTTGGACATCTACCTGCTCTGTTGTGGGATCCTTCAGGGGCTGCAAGTGGATCTCCATGGGGACAGCCTACTTCTCCATTGTCTGCACCCCGTGCTGCAGGAGAATCTCTGCTCTGGTACCTGGAGAACCTCCTTCCCCTCATTCTTCACTGACTGCAGAGTTGTTTCTCTCTCCTTTCTCCAGCAGAAATTGCTGTTGTGCAGCTTTTTTCCCTTTTCTTAAATACATTATTGCAAAGGTGGAACTGACACTGCTGATGGGTTCAGCCTTGACCAGTGACAGGTCTGTCTTTGAGCCAACTGGCATTGGCTCTGTGGGACATAGGAGAAGCTTCTGGCAGCTTCTCACAGAAGCCACCCCTGTAGCAGCCCCACTACCAAAACCTGGTCATGCAAACCCAATACCTTATCAGGCTATTTTAGTGTTCACCTGGTTTGTCAAAGCCTAACGTTGGGCTATCCAGCCGTCAAGGCCAGGAACAACTCATTGTGTGAATTACTCTTCTTTTTTGCTGTGGTTTGCTGGCTTGTCTCCCAAATTGTCTTGAAATTCATGACAGATTGGCAGTATTGTCACAAGCACTTTACTTTTGCATCTGTGATGCAAATTTCACAAGAAATGCTTTGAACAAGATGTCCTATTTTTGAAAGGAAGAGGGAGGCGGGAACACCATCCCTTCTTTCTCATACCCAAAATAAACAGTACTCCTTTTGTATAACAGGCATGTCAGGTTCATGGTCGGTTTTATTCTTCCTTCCCTTTTCCAAGAATAGTGTAAGAGAACAATCTTGCTAATTATAAAGGCAATTGTAAATACTGGTGCTAAGCATCTGTGGATAATTGAGCCTTAGAGTCCAACTTTATATTCCATTTTACAATGCATTTATCAGTCTATATACAACATTATAGCTATAGATATATAGATCTAAAGCTTGCCTGACATTCCTCTGAGAAATGAAGTTATTATTAAACATACAAAAAAGATAAGTTTGTATTTGAAATATAATGTGAGAATTTATTATGACAATAATGCAAGCACTTCAGATTTTGTGTGTTTTTTTGAAAGGAAAGCTTTTTTGGCTTTGAAAGGCATTTGGAATAATCAGTGTTGCCATGACTTAAGTGCTTAATAATGGATCTTAGTGCTGTGTTACTGAGATTTCCTTTTTTATAGTGAAGAGAGAGAATAGTGTATGTGAAATAACATGAATGCTGCTAGACTTCCTGCTCCCCACCCAAGAAGAATTAGGCTGGCAATTCTGAGATTAACAAGGTTTATGTGTAGCTATTTATGCTGCATTTTTCCTGGTTAGCTGAGCAGGTAGTGTTACCTAATTAACTGTTCCTCAGAGAAGCTGCTAATAGTGTATGAGCTGACATTTTTGGGACTGATCCAGTCATCCTTGAGCATGCTGAGTTGTCACAGAATTGCACAGAAGTAAAATATTCTTAGCAGAATGATAGTGGGAGTTCTGGGTAAGTATATAATGTGTGAACTTTAGGGAGTGGTTCCTGTGCAGAGGGAATTTCAGTTCTTCAGTCAGTCTTCAGTGACTTCTCATCACTTACATTTTTTTGAATCTAAACAATGCATGTCTTTTCCTGCTTTCTTGCTGCTTCTGCAATTTAAAATGGATGAGTTTGAATGTCTTTTTTAAGGAGCCTCATGGACGTCCAATGTTATCAGATTTGTTGACTATGAAAGTGATTGTTGACACTGGCTTTTTGGTCTGCTTGATGAATATGGTTTTGCTGCAGTGTGATAATAAAATCCAGAGATATTAATGCAATTTTCCCTAAATCTGTAGGAATTTAACTGGCATGTAATGACTGGTAGGTTATCGAGTATGTTTCATTTTAAAAGCTTCCTTTTTATATAATTTATATAATGTTCTGTATTTTGATTTCTGTAATACCCACTGAGTTATGGAATCATAATATAATATAAATCATTTTCTGCAGGCAATTTGTCAGATTAATTACATAGCCAGGAATAGAATCTCTTGTTCAAGACTAATGGGAAACATCTGCCCAAAGATAGCATCTCTGTATCTGCTGTTATTTCTTGGGATTTTTTTTTGGTGTAATAACAATCTTTGAAACATCATGGTGATACATATTTTAGTAACAGAATATATGAGAAATGTTACTAGTAGCACTATTTTGTTTCACTCAGTGTAGTTTACTCCTTGGCTTTAGCAATGGAAAATTTTTGGTTTAATCTGTAGAATTCTACCTGTTTTTCAGTATCATAGTTTACAGCTTGGAAACAATTTTTGTAAGAAATAAATTGTGTTAAACATGACCAGGTTCATATTTAGTGTGGACTATATAACTTCCACTCCACTCCCACCTCCATAACTGATTCTAACTTAGCTGAGTAAATTCATCTTATTTAACCAGCCTTAGTTTTCAAAAGGAAGCATGCACTGTACTGGCTTTCTACTCAGCTGATGCTGTGTTGAGAAAGTAAACTTGTATATAATGCTGCTGAGTAGATGTGGTATGATAGCATTATTACATACAGTGTCAGAGCCAATTAACTCCCAGCAGCACAGAGCACATATATTTGCACACAGACCCTGCTCACATTCTTGAGACACAAAGGTATATCAGCAACTAGTGGTCAAGGAAAGAAAAGTGCAGTCATAAAAAGAGACTGTTTATTTTGTGTACCTCCAAGAGAACTGCAGCAGGTTAAAAGTTATCAATTATTATTTGAACTCTGTGAAACACTTTTAATTATAACTGCTTTGTGTGAGGCTGTGTTCCATCTCCTTTCTCTGCTATAATCACTAACTGGTGGCAATTTACTCTGGGATGTATTTGTATGTTTATGACTGCTTTGGTACTCAGTGTAGATTTATCTTCCCAGACAACCTTTTAGGAATTTCCTGGGTTGACAGCTCCTGGATTCCAATATTAAACAATGGGAGTGTGTTGGACTATTTCTCAGAGAGAAGTAACCCATTCTATGACCGAACGTGTAACAATGAAGTCGTCAAAATGCAGCGGATGACCTTGGACCATTTGAAGTAAGTTGTAATTTGCAACTGCTTCCTGTGCAGTGTCCCTTGTCCCTCCATCCAAAGACTTTGATGATTGAATGGAAGGATGCTGGAAACCTCCTTCTGTTCTGTGCTTTTTAGTCCCACCACTAGCCAGGGAATCCAGCTTCTTTTGTATTTGGATGTCTTCTATTTTCTCTTGTGCTATTTCAAGGAGGTGTTAAGCATGAAGTATTCTGTGTATCTTTTGAGATTCCAGTAAATCACCTTTTAGATATTTCTCTGAAATAGAAAAGTTATCTTCTCTCATCATTCCAGCTCAACAGAACCTGATTAACGGTAATGTAGTTAAACATTTTTCTGTTGTGAATAGGGTTTATGTTAGGGGATACTTGGAGTTTGTAAATAGTTTGTGTTTCCATATCCTTCTGGCTATGTGCCATAATCAGTACATAATTCCTCCGAATAGCTGGCTTTTTAGTATGGATAATAGGAGTAGTGAGTGTTGTAAATAAACTGATCACATATGGTGGTGTAATGAGATTGCAGGATGTGCAAGTTAACTTTCTTTGCAGTTCCCCATCTGTTACGCTGAGCACAAGTGAGTTGTTTGAGAACTATTTAAAGACTCCACAATGTGATTGGGAGTGTGGAAGCAGAGCTAGAGGTTCATTTTGGTTGCAGAGAGGATTTTACACCAGCCATGCAGATGGTCACATCGTACACGGATTCTTAGTTGCTGTGTTTAAATGAGATCTCGATGATGATAGATAGTTATCTTTCTTGACATTGATTTGTTGCTAATATGTTCAACTTAGATGTTGTGTCAGGTTGTTATAACTCCCTTTATATATGCACCTAGGGTTTGATAGGTAACTCAGTGCCTTTATTTACTGCACATTATACAGAAGAGCTTCCAAAGCATCAGAACTGTATTAGTTTACTGCTGGGCCTTTTGGTTGCTCTTCGCATGCTACAGATTTTACTTTGAGGAAGATACTTATTCTGGTTGCTTGTTTTTCAGCCAGATGGTTGGAGTGGAGTACATCCTTCTCCATGCCCAAGAGCCCATTCTCTTCATTATCCGAAAGCAGCAAAGGCAATCTCCAACACAAGGTATGGTCACCCAGTTCTTCCCACTGTTGAGAAGTCCAATCAGTTAATAATTTTTATCAGTTCCTAATTTGTGTCTAAGCACTTCTGTTTCCCCTTTTCTGTCTTTACCTTAAATCCATCGGGAAGGGTCTGTGGCTTTGTGGTGGGGCAGGGGTATTTCTCCAGCAGTGACCTGCAGTGCCAGCAGCAGGGACTGCCATCTTGTGGCGAAACGGGAAGAGCAAATGAGAAAGTGCTGCCCCGTGGTACATTTTGCCACGGGAAATTGGTAATAGCACTCATTCCACGTCCCATTTATCTGTCAAGCTATGCAAGAGTGTTTTCTTATCGTGATGGAATCATGTGACAACAGCACCACTCCTTACAGTGTCACTGATGACCTTTCCAAGATTTTAATCCAATACCTTAGGTTTTTTTCCCCATCTGCTTGCAACTGGCATAATTATTCCTTTTTAACCTTTAATTTGTTTGTGTGTGTGTGTGATTAATCAGATAAGTAGTCACATTTCAGTAGTTATTGGACTATCTTCTCTGTTTACTGCACGCTTATATAAAATAATTTAGATTATTACAGAGTAAACTTTATAGAAAAGAAAGGCATTTTTAGTGCTAGTTATTCTTCCTTTTTTTTAGGGATTTAAGCTCTGCATATGCATTTTGGTCTTGTACAGGACTTTGCCTTGTCTTGCAGTGCTTCTTATTTGCTTATATTAGGAAATGGCCTCTTTATATTGCAGTTCCATATTGAAAAAGAACATACATGATTGATTCTTTTGGTAGATTTGACTTATTTCCTTATTAAAGTTTTGAATCTAGCTTCCAAAAGGTGAGTATGGAAATATCATGCAGCCCTTAATTTCTGATTTCGACACTTTTTAGATCAAGATTGGATTTCCACAATATGTGTGTTCAGGCTTGTGCTGTAAGGCAAATGTGTGTTTGGTGGATCTTAGCTGGGACTTGTTTGGTAACATTTTTTCTCCCTGTGACTGTACAGTTTGTGCTGGGTACCTTGATTGAGTCACATAGTTCCCTAGCTCAGATGTTACCCATGTGTTTCATTTCGTAATGGTACAAATATTAGTGTATTTAAGTCATGGGAATGGGGAAGGAAAACTAAAATTTAATGAGTTCACAGCTAGTGTAGGGTACTCAAATACAACAGGTGCAGGCCTGTCTTATGACTTCTGTGTGTTTTAAAAAAAGATGTATTTATATTTCAAATTCTTTAAGACAAGTTTTTGCCTATTTGAAGTGATTTTAGAAAAATCTTTAGATCCAATGATTAGGGAGAGTAACCTGTCTAGGAAAGTAGGATGCTCTGGTACCAGAGCTCTGAGGCAGTAAAGCTGCTGTTCTGTATTTTGCTCCACTTGTAAGGAAGTGCTGAGAATCTTTTTGTTTTTTTGAGGGTAAGTGGGTACTGGCTGTACTATGCACCCAGCTGTGTTGAACTGTTAATTTAAGCAGGGGTCCAAGCTTCATTAAATGCAAGTACTGGATGAATTGTTAATACAGATGGAGGAACTGCAACAAAGGTGTGCACAGGTAAAGTCCTTAGGAATGCAAAGCTGATAGCATTGTGATTGTTGCTCAGTCGAAGAATGTTTGGCAGATTTTTACAGAGGCAATTGTGATGTTCCTCTGCACTGCAGTTCTAATGAACAAGAATTTTGGAAGGGTCAGTAGAGGTTCCAAATCTGATTTAGCAAATGCCTTTGGAAGGTAGTCTTTTTTTTTGCAAAATGTTATTAATTTAGAAAGTGTGCTTAATACTATTTGGTTTGAGAAGTCTAGCTGAGAGAACTGTCAGAGTTGGAGAAAGCTGAGTCCTGAAGAATGATATCTTACATTGTTGTGGGTTTATACTGGTAGCCAAGGCAAGTGGAATTACTTCCAGTGCAGTTCACTGGACTCTACTAGTGTAGCTCTGAAAACCCCAGCTCTTGTTAGGCCAGTAATTTGTTTGAAGTCTTAAAGCTGATTCTTTTCGATTTATAAAACAGACTTTGGGATTTTTTGTTCTTATCAGTCTATGACTAAGCTGCAAATAAAGCATCTTGAAGGAAAAGGTTAAGAAGAGAAAATTTTGTGATAAATATTGCAACTTCTGCTGTTACTACTGAAATTCAGCAATAAATACACAGTCTTAAGCCAGAGCTTTAAATTGATCCTGCCTTTTTTTTTCCCCCTACAGTTATTCCATTGGCTGACTACTATATTATTGCTGGAGTGATTTATCAAGCACCTGATTTAGGCTCTGTCATTAACTCCAGAGTTGTAAGTGTTCTGTGCATTTGATGTATACTGGTTTGTGTCTGTTTTTACTTTTGGTTGTTCTCCAGGCTGTTTAAATCTTTCCTTCACTTTTTTGAGGAAAGATCATGTAGTAACAGTGTATATAACTTAAAACAAACCTCACTGGTTAATATTGTGTGCATACCACATGAAAATGAAAGATCCTGTGACAGTGCAGTATTGCCCAAAAAGTGATATACATTGCTTAAGGATGAAGGATCAGAGTAACTGAAGCTACACAATTGCTAAAACAGCATGAGGTTTGAATAATCAAAAGAAAAATTACTTGACAAATACTTATGAAATAGTAACTAAATACATATTCAGAGAAGCTTGCTTTGAAATGTGAATGTTAATGTTATATGCTAATGCTAATATTTATTTTTAAATGAGGCTTACTTTTCTAAGCTGATATGATGGTACTTCTTTTCAAATTGCATGCTTGGGTTTGCTTTGATTCCTTCTCTATTGTAAACTACTGTTTTTGCAAGTTTTTCTCTGCCAGTTTAGAAGAGCACTTCAGAAAATGCCTTGTGAGAACCTGTTAAATTATATTCCTGGTCCAAAGCTAGATGTCCCAAGTTCCCTTCCCAGAATAAAAATGAATACAGAATACTAATTTTAGAAACTCTGCCTTCAAAAGTTTATGTTGTATTTTCTCCTTAAATTCTAACACTGCCATATGTTCCTGTCCTGAAAGCTCACTGCAGTGCATGGAATTCAGTCTGCTTTTGAAGAAGCTATGTCTTACTGTCGCTACCACCCATCCAAAGGCTACTGGTGGCATTTTAAAGATCAAGAAGAAAGAGGTACGATTCCTAGCTGCTCCTGCATACTTAGGAAGAGGAAAGGTAATGCAGGGAAAAGCTTGAGGCAATGCACAGTGATGGTTTAGAGGTGAGGTAAAGTGTCTAAAGGGTGAGAGCTCCCTAGGTGAGGAAACGCATCTTGTTCTTCTGTGCTGGTGGGGATGAACATCAAGGCATAGGTCAGAGATGAAAATGGTGAGCTGAGTGTCAACAAAGTGGGCAACTGGAGACCAGTGTACATTTTCATAAGTCAAACAAGTTTGTCAAGTGTAAGATTAGAGGAGAGTCAAATACCAACTTGTTGTACAACAAAGAGATGCTAAAAGAATTTTTAATACCTCTTTCTCTAATGTTTCTGTGATTTGTAGAGAAAGCTAAACCAAAAGCCAAGAAGAAAGAAGAACCAAGTTCCATTTTCCAAAGGCAACGGGTAGACGCTTTGCTTTTAGACCTAAGACAGAAGTTTCCACCCAAATTTGTTCAGGTATGACACTTAAAAGCTGCAATATTGCTGTAGCTTACTTAGAAATTAAAAGACAGTCATAAGTACTTGAATAGTTGAAACTGAATGGGAATTTTGTGTATTTTTGCAGTGGTAACGTGGATTAGATAATAAATGTAAAATGGAAGGCTCTGATTGGCATGCAGGATTCCCCTTTGTAATTGCAGGAGTCATTAAGACTTTGGCAAAACTATGAGAGTGAATTTTATTATACAAACTCCCTATCTAATCACAGAGGGCCTCAGCTATCAGATTTTACTGCTGCTTCCATTTTCCTGCTTTGTGAGCTCAATCAAGTCACCACAATATTTTGTTTTATTTGCTCCATTGTTCTGAAGACTCATTAATTAGTGTGGAATTCTTGGCATTCTGTGAAGTTGTTGTGATTACCTCTGATTATTTTTAGTACCCATTTGTTCCACCAGGTGGTCTGCTTGGGAGCAAAGGAAATTATGTTTACAGCATCTCACAAAATCATTTGCTTCTCAGATGTGGTAAAGACTGGCTAACTACATATTTTTGCTTTAATGTTCTTCAGTTGTAAGAGGAAAATCTTGACGTTATAAAATGTTAATTGGATTTTGTTTGAAGTGTATTTAGTGATCCATTCTGCCCTCAATTCATATGTATAAGAGTGCATTGCCTGGATTTTATTCCTAAATGAATAGTTGGAAGGGTAAAGAATTATGAGTTTGGTTCCCCTGACATACTGGTTTATTTTTTCTTCTTCTTCCCCTACAGCAAAAGCCTGGAGAAAAGCCTATCCCAGGTAAAACTCTAATATTATCACAAGACATAAAAAATAGCTTCTATATGGCAGTATTTTCCAGTTGCCATGTAAGCTTCTTGCTGCTGCTACTGAAGTGGTTTGGAATTCTGGCATTGCCTAATTGTGCAAAATACTGGATAAGAGTTCTCTGTGAGAGCTAGAATGAAAATGAAAAAAATGTGTATTCTACTCCTGCTCTCACTGTAAAACTGAATTGCTTGAAGGTCCTAATGCAGGAAATGGTCTTTGAAAGTAGGAGGGTGAAAGGGTGAATGAGGAACAGTTTAGTCAGTCCAGCATCTTAGTGATTTCTCATGGTACTACAAGCTCTAGAAAGCCTCTGAAGACTTTGAGTTGATCGTAAGCAACCTCAAAACAGGAAACAGATGAACTCTATCTCTTCAATCTATCCACTTTTTAACACACATAAACATGAATTTACTCCCTGCTTATTCTTACGCCTTTGAAATTTGTTTTGCCCCTTTGACAGCAATAATATTTTCTATGTACTCTGAATAGTATTTTAGCAATAAAAATCAGAGGTTTGACTTTCTTTTGCTGTTACATCTTTAGTGGATCAAATCAAGAAGGAACCAGAACCAGCCCCTGAAGCTGTCAAGCCAGAGGAAAAAGAGACTGTAAAGAATGCTCAGCAGACTGCTGCTGCTAAAGGACCACCCGAAAAACGAATGAGACTCCAGTGAAGGGAGAAGTTGTTGCACTTCTGGATTAGTCATTACCTGGAAAACATGAGATTCTTGCTCCCCTTTCTTTATATTTAAGCTCTTCCACTGAGACTGACAACTCAGGAACTGAAGTTCCTGTAACAGCTTTTTCTGTAGAAACCTTTCATGCAAATATTAATGTCAGGATGTGAGCTGCCTCAAAGAAGGTGTTTTCATTCTTCATGGGTTTTTTTTATGTTGGCTTCTGAGAGTGGTTTTTAGATGGACATATTTAGCAGCCTCCTGAAAACTTTACAAACTCTTGCATCCTTTGTGTCTAGGTTTTCTACGTAAAAAGAAAAAAACTTTATATATATATATAAAAATCGGAATTCTTGGCAAATAAAACTCCTGGTTCATGGAATGCCTTTCTTAAATGCATACTTTGTTAGTAGCAAGTATACCATATATGCTGGCAGCATTTTTTTTGCTTGGCTATTGGAATATATTGTGTTCTATTTTGAGGAGGAAAAGTTCAACTAAAGGATTTAGGCTGCCTGCTATAAATTGTTGTGCCTTTAGTATGCTTGGGATAAAGATAAAAGATTTGATAACTGGAGCCTCAAATCTGTGTAATTAGATGTCAGACTGCTCTCAGTCTCTAAATGTTCTTGGGTACTCATTTTAATTAAAGGCTAAACTGATACTTTATTATAAAAGCTAGTATTCTGTGAGAGAGATTTGTTACAAAACTGGATAAAATTTCTTGCTGTGGCACACTCAGTGAAGCTGTTTATATTTTTATTTTTTCACTGTAACTCAAATATATCAATTACATCTCTTCCTCTGTGCTCATAGCACTTCCTTGCTCCTTGATTAGACATCATGCTTTTAGACCTGAGGAGGCAGGGCAGTGGAAGAGAAACACCACTGACAGCTTATTGAACTTTTTTTTTTTAATGGAAGTAATGGAGCAATCCTCAAAATAGCTTGCTTGCTTTCCACAACTGATAACCTTCTTTCTTGTACTGAACTGTAGTAAGAAAGAAAAAGGTATGTACATAGCAATCAAAATGTAGATAGGAAGGAAGACTAAGACATGCTTGGATGGCTGTGCCAAATTTATTTTCAGGTTACAAGATACACTTTTTCTGTTTCAGTAACTTAGCTACCCAAACAGAACTATTTATTACTGAATGATAGAACGACCTGTCAGAACTATTTATTATTGAATGATAGAAAGACTCATGTCATTTTTGTCACATAATCCAAAGCTGTAATATTAAAGATGTAGATATAGCCAATAGCTGTTCTCTTCTGAAGCAGATACGGATCTGAAATTCATATATTGGTATACTTAAGTGTGTATTAGGTTTATATCATACCTGGGTCAGGTTTGAACAGCTGTTTCTCCAAATGTTGATAGAAGTAGATAATAAGCTGGTGTGAACTATTAGGTCAAGTGAAAATACAGAAAGCAGTTATTCTGGGATGCTTAAAACAAGATAGAGCTAATTATTCAGCATTGAATTGTGACCAGGTGGTGTGAATATCCTTAGAACACAAGGGTATTGATTCCTTCTTTATTATTAAAGAAATTCCTCTGAAAGCAAGTAGCTGAAGAAGCACCAAAGCCATCGTTTAATCTACCCCAATGATGGAAAGGAGGGATCTCCAGAAATAAGACCTGAATGGTGAGGAACCTCAGGAGTCCAGAAATGAGATATGAATGGTAAGGAGCCTCAGGGGTCCTTCCTGTTGATGTTCAGAATAAAGTCCTTGGAAATGTCCATTTGAGGAGCTGAAGCAAGAAGGATAACTAGACTGCATTGTAATGAAGATCTAGGGTGTTAGGCTTCGGTTTTGTGGGGTTTTGTTTTGTTTTTGTTTTGTTTGTTTTGTTTTGGGTTGTTTTGTGTGGTGGTGTTGGTTTTTTGTGGGTTTTTTTTTTTTTTTTTTAATTTGTTTTAATGGAAAAAAATTATGTATTTGTACACCAAGGAAATATTTACCACTACTAGCAGAAGAAAGGTATCTTGAGAGATGTACAGCTGTGGTAAAAAATGGATGCTAGAGCATAGTATGAGCAAATTATTCTATCAGTCATTGGACTTCACCTGAAATAAAGTGTATTGTACAGCTCAGTGTCTGAAAAAGAATTCCTCTAATGTAGGGGAGTTTGAAGAAGGGCAATAAAATCAGTAGGGGAGAGTTTCTCCTGTGATGGCACTGGGAGGGCCAAGACTTCAATTCCTTAGGAAAGAAAAGACAAATACCAAGTGTTTGTAAAACTGAGTGTTGAAGCAAGTAGGAAAGTAGAGAACTCTTGTTCTGTCTTGTAGTACAATAATAGAGAGACAATGAAGCAGAATTGAAGTTACATTTAGACTGAATCATATTCCATGCTCAGAATTTGAGCCAATTCAGAGATAAAGGTGAAGCCTGAAGGGGCAGACTGTCCTCATCTCTGCATCTCTTTGCAGCCTCTTTGCTTTCTGCAGAAATATCACCAGATATTGGCTGGTGTCAATGGGTGTTACAAAGAATGGACTTCTGGTCTGATCCCATCTGAGGTAAAGTGCCAGCATCTAAACTATTGAGAGGGCAGAAAATGGCTTCCATTCATGAAACAATGCATTTGAATGTGATAAGCCGCTTCTAGGGGAATGATCTTTTCCTGAGAGAATTAAATTATAAAGCAGTAAGGGATGTTACCAATGAGTGTGCCCATTTCTTAGTAGCTGTCTAGTGCTGAACGTTTGCCATACGAGGGACTGAAATACCTTCTGATCCTGTTACTTGCTGACCAGATATTCTAAAATAATTTTATCAGTTAAGTGAGCTATGATATTAACTTACTGAAGTGACAATATGTCTGATATTACTGTTAAACTCCAAGTAATTTACTGTCAAAAAGAAGTTGAGCAGCTATGTTGTAGTCAGTAATGTTTTTTATTGTGTAAGAGTCTAAGCCTTTTCTCTGTGGTATTTATATGCTGTCTCTTAGTTTAGAGCCTGACTGCCAAGCTCCAAAGTCCTTCCAAAGGACCTCCAGTATTTGTAAAGCTTATAGATGAAAGGGAGATAACCCAGCAGTTCTGAAATTTGCCTGTGCTCCTTTTGCATAAAGGAGAGATTTGGTTGTACAAGAGAATTTCCGTACTTTTTGCTCTTAGATAACAACCATTCAGACTTCAAAAGGGCTTTTCTAAGTCACAGGGTAGCAGGAGCTAAAAATTACCTAGAACTCTAATTCAAACAATTCTTCTCATAGTCTGAAAATACATATAAATGAATGGTTATACATGTATTGTATATATGTGTGTCTATATGCACATACATGTAAAAATCCAGCCAGACTGTAGGAAGAGGGTCAGTCTAGCTACCTCAATTTACTGTGTAAAGCTAATGGTGTCTCAGGTGCAGCAGAAATACTGTCTTTTTCAACTTTTCACTAAGTAAGATCTGACCAGGCTATGTCTTGCTCTTGCCCATTCCTCTTTGCCACTCTACCCCCATACTTCATATTTTAGTAACTCTTTCCCAGCAAAGAAAGTTCAATGCCATCTGGACAGTCAGTACGTGTTGTTTGCCAAAGCAGGCTGTAGTTGGAGCAAGGCTAGAAGGGTATAGGCAATAGGAGGGACAAGGCAAAGGAGATAGAATAGCTTTATTTTGAGACATAGAGGTTCCCTTTGAGGAAAATGGTGAAGATAAGTTACGCAAATAGATTGTGGTTTCACTGAACCAACAGATGGTTTTGAAACAAAAGCTGATGTGATACACTTTTTCAGGGTTGTTTTCAATATTTTTTTCAATAGCAAAGCAAATGATAACTAGGCATTCAAGGTTCAAGATAATTTTTCTGTTTTTTTCTTGTAGAGGAAGGTCTTGTAATCATGCACAGAACAAACAAATGGTCACTTAGGTGACAAGTGTCCTTCCACAGCCTAATGTGAATCACAGATAAACGGGTGGTGGGGAGAAGTTTTGCCAGTGGGATGAGTTATGATGTATTACTGATTTCTCAGCAATCAGAAGGTTTAATTTCTTTCTGGCAGGACTGTGGATTTTAACCTGTGGTCCACAAGGCTCCTGAGGTTTTGTGACCTGTTCCTAAAGACTCAACAGAAGGTAAGTGAGAGAAGGAAATTTCTCACTTGTAGGATTCAATTCCATAGGAGCTTGCACCTTAATTGGAAATTTTAGGGGCCTCCAAGATTGAAAAATGTTTGGAAAACACTCATGAGAAAGCCAATTACACCTGCCAAACAAATGTTTCTGCAGTTGAAGTAGTAAAGATTGCTATGGTATTTTTTTCCTGCTCTACTATAAGGCCAGTCATTTTTTCTTTCCAACCTGTTCATTGTCATGCAACGGGAATCTTTCCCTCCCTGCTCTTTGACTTTACCTGGTCAATACAGAAGTGCAAGAGTCTGGTAACCTGAACATAACAGTGTGATCGATCCCTATATAAAAATTACGTAACCTCAATGCTGAAGAACTGGCTTAGTTGCTGAATGCAGTGTCACAAAGTGACATTGACACTACCCCAAAAGAATAATCTGCCGTGAGTTCAACAGTGGAACCAGAGTATTTTCTAGTCCTAACGATAATTGAAAGAGAAAGTAATGGGCAACTTCAGGTCAGGGGGTCGTACAGGTAGCAAGGGATGTCTCTAGCAAATTGGCAGAGTGATTTAGTAGGGCCTTTTCTATAACTTAAGGAGTGATCTCATATCAGAAGTATGTATTTAAAAATAGCACTACAGACATTGCATACAGATTATATAAGAGGATTTTTCTGTTATTGTAGTCTGAGTTATATATATTTCAAAAGACATAATCTGACATAGTTCACAGCCCTGGAATGCAAAACTAATAATTGAAAAATAGTGGACCATTATTCAGCAAGTAGCTGCATATAAAAGACCTCACAAAAAAACCCCAGTTCCTATAACTTTAAAAGTAATAAGAAAATAAATCTAAGGCTAACACACATCATGAATTTGGACGTATATCTAGAAATATCCTTCTACATAGATCCTCATAGAAGCAGGCATCCTGTTTACTTTACTTTAATCTGAGATACTGTATTACAAAATATATGCTACTAATGCTGGCCACACTGGCAAGGAGCGAGCAAGGTGTCAATTTGCAGAATCTGAAGTTCCTTTGGACAACTGCTGGTAACCTCCACAGCTGTTGGTTAGGCCTACTATGTGACCAGCTTAGAATATCACCCCACTCAGGACCCTGGGGTATGAGGCAGCAGAAGGAGGCTCTGAGCATTCTGCCAGCTACTTCTCTCACTGCTCAGCCTCCTGAGGGGCAGTTCCTGTCTCAGAGAGTTTGAAATGTTAAATGTTGCTGCCTGTCCCAGAGTGATGGTCAGCACACAGAAACTGGTGCCAAAAAGCAGGATTCCTGAAATGGATGTGGGCTGGTGGGAGGGTGCACCTCCTGCAGCCGAGGAAGATGATGTCCACAGCAGGTTGGACTTCATCCCAGCTGTGCTTTCAGTGCTAAAATTAAAGTTGTGAAGAATTCCCAAAAGATAACAGCTGTGGCTGTGTTGAATCCCAGCACTGTGTGCCAGAAAACCGGTGTGCAAAGCTGTGTTGCACAGGACATCCTGTCTTACCACAATCCAGATCACTGTGCTGTAGCTGTGTCTTGATGTAGCTGTACCCCAAGATGGGAATGGCAGCCAAGTGGTAGATGTACCTGTAAGCATTCTTTTTCCAGTGCTGTGCAAGCACAAGCCCTTAGAAAGGCCATGATGAGGGAAAATTGCTGCTGCATCAGTTATGTCTGTAATCAAAGCATAATGTTGTAGGTATGTTGCATCTGTGGTGGAAATAGGCTTGAGGTTTTATATTTGGTGCTATTAGTTTGCCTCTGTGTTATTGAATGTAGCGGAAGTGAATTACCCCTTGTTCTTTTTTCTTGGAGGGTTGTGTGTATAGCTGTAAGTAGCTATAGTAAGGCACACACTAAGAAATGGTACCACGAGGAGTATTTCTGTGCTTTCTCATTTCAGACTCTAAACTTTTTCAGATATTCTTTTGAGCTGAAAATAGTCTGTTTCTGATGTCCACTCAAAATTATCCTTTAGTAGAAAAGAGTGAAAAAAGCAAAAGCCATCCTTTTAGATTTTAAAACAGATTTTCCCACTTCTAGCCTACCCAGAAATGATCCCCTTGCTCAACACAAACATCTGTGACAAGGAGTGTGAAACTGAGCTGGGGGCCTGCCTCGCTGTGCCTGCTCAGAAGGAGAAGCACTCATTAATTTGAAATTAAGATTATAAAAAGATGGGAACGTGCTTGTGGAAAGCTTATTTACTCCTTCCTGCCCACAAGAGCCTCTGTCCGTGTTGAAGGGGCAGGCTCGGTGGTCTGGAGGCAGCGATGTGCTCCCGGCCGCAGGTGCCGTTTCCCGTGGAGCGGGCGCTGCCCGCCCGGGCCGGGCAGTTGGAGCCTCGGGGCGGTTCCGCCCGGGCTGGGCCTGCCCAGGTTCCATCCCCGGTCGGGGCGGGGGGCGGCCGGTGCAGGGCGGCAGGGATGGGGGCGCTGCCGGGGCTCCTGGTGCTGCTGCTGGGGCTGGCGGCGTGCCCCGGTGCGCGGGGGGCCCGGCCCGCCGAGCCCCTGGCCGCGTGGGTGACGGTGCCGCGGCAGCTGAGCCCGCGGGCCGGCAGCGACGCCCCGGCCGTCACCTACTGGCTGAAGGTGGCGGGGCGGCCGCGGGTGCTGCGCCTGCAGCCCCGGCGGGGCCTGATCTCCCGGCCCTTCACACTGGTCACCTACGCCAAGAATGGGGTCCGCCGGGAGGAGCACCCCTTCGTGCGGGACAACTGCTTCTACCAGGGCGAGGTGCTGGGGAGCCCTGGCTCCCTGGTGGCCCTCAGCACTTGTGACAGGGGCCTCCACGGCGTGCTCTGGGTGGAGGATGATACCTTCCAGATCGAGCCCATCCCCCACGATCCAGCCTTTCGGCACATCATCTACCGCATGGAGGCCAACAACCCCATGGGCCCCACCTGCGGACTGACCCCTGAGATGCTGCAGCACCAAAAGGCTGTGCTGCCCTGGTTCAAGGCTCCAAAGGCAAACGAGGAGAACGAGGAACTGAAGGACTGGTGGACGCACACCAGATATGTCAAGATGGCAGTGGTTGTGGACAATGTGCGCTTTGTGAAGTCAGGCAGGAATGAATCTGAAGTCTTGAGGCAAGTCATGGAAGTCATCAACATTGGGGACATTCTGTATAAGCAGCTTTCTGTCCGGCTGTTTCTAATAGGATTGGAGATATGGACCGAAAGGAACTTGATAAATATTACTAAATCTCTTGGCAAGGTACTTAGTGACTTTAACAATTGGCGAAAGTCAAATCTGTCACAACGGATGCGCCATGATGTTGCTCACTTATTTGCATTTCAGAGCTTTGGAAGCACCTTGGGATTGGCATTTATAGGGACAGTATGTGATAACCACTGGTCATCAGCTGTTGCTTCCTTCACAGAGAAAAAGTTGTCCACCTTTTTTATCACATTTGTCCATGAGCTGGGCCATAATCTTGGGATGAGCCATGATAAACCAGACTGTAAATGCAAACGAGATAAATGCATTATGTACGAAAGCAACGCTGACACTGATGCGTTCAGTGACTGCAGTTACAAATACTACTTTGACCTGCTTGTACGTGGCGCCGACTGCCTTCGTCAACCACCAGAACCTGGCACTTTCTACACCTCAAAGCATGAATACTGTGGGAATAAGATATTAGAAAGCGGAGAGCAATGTGACTGTGGTTCAGAATCAGCCTGCAGAAAGGATCCTTGTTGCCACCCGAACTGTACGCTTACTGTAGGTTCAGTCTGTGCATCTGGAAAATGCTGCAAGAACTGTAAGGTCCTTCCAGCGGGAACAGAGTGCAGAGAAAGTACTGGCAGCTGTGACCTGCCAGAGTATTGCAATGGGATTTCCCCTCAGTGTCCACTGGATGTCTACCTACAAGATGGAACCCCTTGCAAAGGTGATGCTTACTGCTATCAAGGAAAATGTTCTTCCCACAGTAAACAGTGCCAGGATCTCTTTGGCAAACAAGCCAGGGCTGCTTCTTTAGATTGCTTCAAAGCAGTGAATACTCAAGGTGACCGGTTCGGTAATTGTGGTATTCGCAACAATATCCATTTTACAAAATGCACTACTGAGAATGTCTTATGTGGTAGGATTCAGTGTGAAAACATAGTCAAATTACCTCCCTTGCAGAACCATGTAACACTACTCCAAACTCCTGTTGGAGATAAAAATTGCTGGGGTCTTGACTATCACGTAGGGATGCCAGGAGCTGATGTGGGAGCTGTGGAAGAAGGCACACCGTGTGGTAGTGATATGCTTTGTATCAACAGGACATGTGTTAGTGTATTACTGCTGAACTACGACTGTAACCTGACAAAGTGTCATGACAGAGGATTGTGTAACAATCGTAAGAACTGTCACTGCGAGTATGGCTGGGCTCCTCCATACTGTGAATTGGAAGGATTTGGAGGTAGCATTGACAGTGGACCCCCTCCAGCCACGAAGATTTCTCACAGAGCAAAAGTAAGACTAATACTACTTACTTTTCTTTGTCTCTGTTTCCTTGGAGTAAACCTTACCATGCATTATAGACAGGAAGTAGTGGGATGGCTTAGGAGAATAAAGGCCCAATTCCACAGAATACTGCAGTTATTTCAAAGACTGAAAAAAACAGAAGTACCTAAAGAAGACTCACCTAATGATGAGTCAAAATCCACTGAAGACCAACAAGCAGTAGCTTTGGATGCTCCTGGGAAATCTCACTTTAGCAAAACCATCTGATAATATCATCAAAATAATTCAACACATTCTGAATAGCTCTCATCTCATGTGATATCATTAAATGCAGAGTAAAAGTTATCTTTGTTTATTTTAAATTAATAAATGCAGGCAGTAAGGCCTGCTGTTCTTTTTACGCTGAGCTCTTAAATTGCCGTAGTTAGCTAAACTGTAGGTATAGTGTTTATGCTTCATATCAACAGTTTAAAAATGCAAACTTCTTAAGAAGATAACATAAATTATCTGTAGATAAATTATTTGCTTCCATTTACTCCTTCATCTAATGTTTTCTTCGATTCAGGGAGAGAGTGTTTGTGATCATTTGGCTTCTGTCATTCGTTAAGAACCAAAGAGAAAAAATTGCTCTTTCAGTCTCCACTGGGTTCCTTGCAACACAAACCATTCTATGATTCTATGATTTAATTCACATCTGTGACACACAAACAGGCAAGATACAGGTATTGCAGTGAGATGCAGGTGTCTGTTTCATAAGTGTTTCCAACTGTTTAAGGGAGCAGCCCTTCAGGAGGGAGGTAGATCATAGGAAACGGGTTCTTCATTTTTTGAGAGAGTAGAGAAGCATTATCCAGGTCACACCAGTAAGCATTACATTTTTGAACCATCAGAGGTATACATCAGCAGTGCAGTGGCACCAAATCTGACATTTCACAAGAACAAATTGTCTTTATTTTCTGGAAATTTTCCAGTGCCTTGAGTGATGGCTTCTTCTGAGAAGTGTTGTGTATTTTATAGTCACTAAGAGGAGCTGGTTGTGGGGTTGCACAAGTTAAATGAATTTCTAAAGTATTTGGAACTATTCTGCAAGTTTTCCCCATGCAGAATTCCTGCAATATTTGATTGATGTTTTATCTGATTTTCTCGGGAAGTTTCTCTTGGTTTATGATGTGTTTCTTAATGCTATAACTGAATGGGTCCCTGCAGCTCTACAGAGTGCCACACAGAAGTACTGTGGTTTTCATTTTTTTTTAACACAAGATAAAATGTGTCTTAACTTGTGAAAAAATATGAGGGACATGGAAATACCGTTCAATAACTTTAAATTTTATTATTTGTATTATAGCAGTGACTAGATTTTTCTATCAGATCAGCAGGAAGAGGATTCTGTAGTCCAGATTACAGTGAAAACTTTTTTCTAAAGGTCTGGTGTTTCTGGATTAAGGGCTATAATGCATTTGTCTGCTAACAAAAGAATATTTGTATTTAGAAAGCAAAGAGGACATTTTTAGCAAACTTTCTATAAAGGCAGGATTAGTAGCCCAATACTTGCAACATTTGGGAAGAAATATGTTTATGACTCTACAAATGATGATGGTCAACTATAGATGCCTTCCAAATATGAAATTTATGTTTTTAGAATACACATTTTCCTGTAATACTTTTTTTTTCCTCCATAATCATGTCCTGTATCCAAAAAGGGCTGGTTAAATTATGATTGGATGTGAAATACAAAGGATGTGATTCACAGTTTTTCATGGCTTTTTGTCTACAGCAAATAGATCTTTACATAATTATCTATATTTGGGGAAATGAGGTAACACATTGTTTGTTCAGCAGGCTATGCTAATTGTCTTGATAAAACATGGATAGTTTTGATTAGGTGAAGAAAACTTAATCCTGTGTTTATGTCAAATGACAGAATAACTGCCCTTTGACTAACACCCCAAATTTATTCCTTATAACCAGAGACCTTTTTCTGGGGAGCGTGGGGGGAGTGTTCTCTGAGAAATAACAATAGTAATGCAGGTGTTGCTAACAAGGGATACTTGACAAACAAGGGGGATGTGGAATAGTCAAAAGACAGAGATAAAAAGTAACACAAGCACTACACCCATCACCTTCCAACCAGCTATACGCAACTGGTAAGTACTGGCAGACTTTTTTTAATTTTGCTTTTTAAATAGATAAAGAGTGGCAGAAATTCCAGACTGCCATCTTGATGGCTGCCTATTGCTGATTGATACTGTACCATAAATTGCCAAGTATAGATCTGTGCTGAGACCAGAAAAAAGTTAGAGAGTAGGGGAGTTTTTATTTACAGACCTGCATGCTGAAGAGACAGAGGTGTAAAAGAAAGCACAATTTAGGATATTTGCAAATGTAGTTTTGGAAAGGACAAAGCAATAAAATGCTGTAGTTTCCATTTTTCTCTATGCTTAAAGATTGATCTAAGAAAACCATGACTTAACTGGGAGGAGGCTTTCAGGGAGCTTTGGATAGGAGTATTTCTGTACAGTTTTCTTCTATTTTTGCTTAGGCCATATAAGCAAGACAAACACGTATCCCAACAAACCCAGTTGGTGTTTTATAAAAAGTGTGAGCTGCCTTGCTAAGGTTTTCTCTTTGAAAATATTGTTGTTTCTGATTTTACCATAGCTATTTGATTCTTGTGGTAGTTTGTTAGAAATGTCCCACTACTCTGAAGATGCTGCTCTGAAGGTGCTAGGAAGGTTCAATTCTAAGTTTAGTCCTAATCTTTCTGGTTTCCCCTTTTTTTTCGGTCATAGTTTTAATTACCTTTTAAAATGCTTTAAGTGGATGCTAGAACTTGGTTAATGTATAAGTCACTTGAATATGGAAGAGGCAGCCTGCAAATGCTGCTGCACCATCTCCCAAGGGATGAGGGTCAGTGAAGTACTTGAAATGGTGCTGGAGGAAATAAGAAGACACAGTCTGGTCTAGTGGAAGGTGTCCCTGCCTGTGGCAGGGGGTTTAGAACTCTGCTCTTTAAGATCCCTTCCAACCCAGGGCATTCTGTGATTCTGTGAAATGGCCTGTGCCAGTACAGTAAGGTGTAAAGTCTTAGGTAGCTGTTAACACGTGGCAGGCCACTTAGTGATAGGTGAAGCCTGGAGCTGCCTAAGAGTAAGTTACAGCAATAATATACAACAGATATATAAAATATACAACATATATTCATGTTTCTTGTTTGAAATCTCTTCCTAGCTAAAGCAGACTTATAACAACAGTTAATATCATAGTTATCAGATCAAGATAAAATTGGGTTTGTTATAAACCAAGATTGTCATCTCTAAAATACATTAAACTGCTGCTAACAAACAGTATGTATCTTCAAGGAGTTTGCCAATTACCTCACAGTTGCTCACTCACTCTTCTCCCACCCCTCCCCAGTGAGAAGGAGATTTGGAAAAGAAAAGGTAAACCTCATGGGTTGAGATAAAACCAGTTTAATAACTGAAAGAAAACAAACCAACCAACCAAATAAAAACAGAACCCAAGAGAAACAAGGGATGCACAGTAAAATTGCTCACCACCCACTGGCCGATACCCATTCCATCACAGAATGTGTTTTGCCCCCCTTCCAGGTAACTCCCCCACTTTATATACTGAACACGTATATGTGTAGAACTAGACTGTTCTATCGTATGGAATATCCCTTTGTCCAATTTAGGTTACCTGTTCTGGCTATGCTCCCTCCCAGGCTTTTGTGCACCTTCTCACTGGCAGAGCATGAGACACTGAAAAGTCTTCATCTCCTCCACTTAAGGTTAACACTACTTAGCAACAAGAAAAACATCATTGTGTTATTAACGTTATTCTTATACTAAATCCAAACAACAGAGCACAGTACCAGTTACCAAGGAGAAAATGAACTCTATTCCAGCCGAAACAAAGACAGGGGGAAAAATAATGGATGGTTGCTGTGCAAGTTTTATCGTGCAGTGTTCCTATTTAATGGCCACAAAAGGTATAGATATCCAGGACAACATAACTCTGTGAACTGGACTGAAGCAGGTGTGAAACTGAATGCTGTGCTCAACCATTTTAAGAAGTCTTCCTGTGATGGACAAATCATGGTTTTGCTCATCATCGCAGATGTAATTGGACCTTGAATACCTGTCTCCCACCTCTGAGGCAGGGGTTCTAACACCCAGCTTAGCACTAAGCATTAATGTTGTAGCATTAAGGCACGTAGCACACTCTAATTCAGAGATCCATCACCCAGATTACCTCTCCCTATTAAATTCAGGAATCCAAAAGTGCAGATCATCTGGGAATGATTGCAGTAAAAAATATTTGTTCTCTATACTGTAATACCAAACAAACCATTTGATAGTGTAACACTGAGGACCAGAGCAGCTGATCCTCATTTTCATCAGAGAGGTTCCTGCAACATGTAGATGTGGCTGTCCTTGTAGTGCCAAGCAATCAGGCAGTTTAATTGGATCAGGCCTGTTCATTGTTCCCTGTTGCCATGTCTGTATTGACATACTTGTAGCATGTGCTGAAATAGATAAGGATACAGTTTAATAAGGAAATAAGTAATGATAAATTTTGCCTCGCTGTTTATTTCCGAATAATCTGTTGGTTCAAGAAATCCCTGTCATACAGAGTGCCAGGTTCAAGTGGCTCCTCTGTTAGACAGCAAGTTGAACTACTTTGCCCTTTATTGCTAGGTAATTATCTGTAGAGTTTTGAGGAAATTTCTCATATCCTTAAACCAAATGCCTTGTACAGGGCATAGTTAGGTATTTATTGTTGCAGCAGTGGCAGTCAGCATGTACCATTTGTGTTTCTTAATCTAGAGCATCACTTTATTGCATCGCAGGATATGTAGGCAATGGTACAGGCTTTTGCTCCTGCCCATCACTGTCTGATCTGCTTTTTAGTTTGCTGTGAGGCCAGTTAAAAGGGTTGGGAACAGGTCAGACATCTCTCTCTGCTACGCTCCCCCTAGACAACAGTCACACCTTAACCTTCCTGAGGAAGCCAGCTCCAGCCTGGGGAGCAAAGCACGGCCAGTCACAGATGCCGCGCAGGATCCGGGGAAGGTGCGGGGGCAGGAGAACGCTGTGCTGGGTTCCCCTGGGCCCGCTCCTCTCCCTCCCCTGCGGTGAGCGCCCGGGGCCGTCCGTCGCAGGACGCGCTGGCACCGCTCCCCCGGCGGGACTACAACTCCCAGCGCTCCGCGGCGCGGCCCGGCGGCGGCGGCCGAGGAGACGGCAGCGGCTGCCCCGGGAGTCGAGTTCTTCAGGCCGCAGCATGAACGGCAGCGTGGCGGGCGGCGGCTACGCCGAGGAGATCATCAGCTTCACCCGCAGACCTTCAGGTAAGGCGGGGGGGCCCGCCCCGCGCCGGGCCCGGGCGCCTCCCGGGCCGGGGCAGCCGCGCCGAGGCCTGCGGAGCCCCCGGGGAGGCCGGAGCGGGAGGCGCGGTGGTGGCGGGGGCTGGCGGGGCTGCCCTGGTGGGTTACTGGGACGGCGGGAGGGCCCGGCGGCGAGTTGTCGGCGAGTTGTCGGCGAGGTGCCGGCGAGGACGGGAGGGAGGGCGGGCAGCCATGCGGTGAGGGAGAGCTGGCTGGGTCAGGCTCGGTCCTCTGCGGGAGCCCCGGCCGGTGTCCCGGTGAACAACTCGCCCCTGGTTTTCCCAGGAAGTTGCTATCTCCGGTGGAGCTCCTGTTGCTTCCAAGTAAGGTGGCAGGCGTTGAGCGCCCAGCCGCGTTGGATACCCTGAGTCAGGGGCCATTTGAAAATCGTGTGTCCCAGTGACCATGCCCTGTAGTGTCGGCTTGGCGGTCATTGTACAGGGTAGCGTGAGGGGCTTCTGGGTGGTGAGAGAGAGGAGCACAGGCTGGAGGGGAGAGGGAACGGGGCAGTCCTTGGGGCATTGCTTTGGCTTTGCTGTTCAGGATTTATGATGTCATTCAAATCACACTTTCAGAAGTGAGGCAAGTTGGCACCAAATGTACGACTCTGGAGCAGAATCCTGGCTCTAAAGAACCTGGCTCTAAAGAACCTCTGGAGTGAAATCCTGGCTCCAGGGAGGCTTCGGAGCTACAGTTTTGTGCTTGAGGCCTTGTCTTTAATTGAAACAGGCGCAAAAGAAAACGTGGCAGCCCTTCTGTCTGCCTGCACAACTGCTGGGTGCAGCTGCTGGCCGGCCTTGGCTCCATGGGCCCCCAGGGACTGCAGCACCCACAGCGTTGGCCTGTGTGCCGTTTTCCGTTCTCTGGGGTGAAGGTAGTTCCTGGTAGGTCCTGGCCTCTGTGCTGGCAATCAGAACCCAGAGGATGGGCCCGGGGTGCAGTCCTCTGCCTCCCCTGCTCATCAGAACAGCCACTGGTCTCAAAGCTGCTAGCCCTGCCTGCAACCTGCAACCCTACAACCATGAGCTCAAGCTAATGAAGCCGTGCTTGTCAGTGAAAGCTGTTTGCTAGACAAAGCCGGTTCTGATGGGAAAGCTGTTTCCATACATTTGGGAATCTAAAATTTTGAGGGAGGTGGAAGGGAATGTTGAAGTGCAGAGTTGAGAATGGTCTTGAATGTGGCCACTGTGATTTAAGTCTGGTTGTTAAGATGGGCTGTGCATTTTTAGTTAGGCTTCTAACTATGTTACTTGATTTGAAGGTTCTACAGCCCCTTATGGCCTTGATGTACTTACCATATGAATTATTATTCATTTCTGTGGAAGGAACAAAACATTATTATTTGTGAAGCACAATGTAATAACATAGTCTCCCGAATCAGAGTTTTGACTGCAACTTGTTAAAATAGGTCTGATGCTAAACACCTCTGGCAAAAGTTTGCTGAGGTGTTGAATGTATTTGCAGTGGCAAAATGGTGTGTATACACCTCTTTTTCAACTTTCCTTGTATTTAGTTTCTTTTCCTAATCATGGCAATCATATTTTTTTCATGTCTCTTTGAGGGAATTTTTTAGTTTCAGGGAGGGTAAATGAGGCATAGTGAGTCTGCAGCCTCAGGGAGGATGAGAAGTTTAGCCCAGAGCCTGCTTTTAAAGCTTTGCCATTCTGCTTCTGGTCCCTTTTAAACTAGAGACTTAGTGCCATGTGCTCCCTTCCTCCCCTTGCTCCTTTTCTTCTGGCTGTACTGTGTCTCTTTTTATGGCTGCATGAACTGTAAGGAGTAGAACAGTAGAGAGCTCAAGGAATTATAGGGAAGATATTTTTAGCCAGAGTGGCAGTTTAAGTGCTGGAAAGGCACAGTGAAAAAGTCCTGTGAATACTGAACTTGATCTAGCATGAATTGCTGCTTCTTCATCAAAAAGATTTGCCTCTGCTGATGAAAGCTGTGACTTAGGATTATTTTTCCAATTGCGGATGAAAAGTTGCAAAATATATATTTTTTTCATATATATATATATATCAGTGAGGGTTTTTATGTATATGAAAGAGAATCAATGTCAGAGAAACTCTGACTCCTTCTTTCTGGCTTTTTAATAAGTGCTGATTAAACCTTATACTTTCCGTAGTATTGATTTCCCCTGTTCCCAGGGTGTTGGCTTTGTGGCAAATAATTTTCAGGTTTGTGGATTTTTAGGTTTTTTTCTTTTTAATTTCCATTGAAGGGTGTGTTATTATCCACGATTGCCCCTTCTTGGAACAGGTATGAGTCTAGTTGAAATGTCAGGGTTTGTTCAATTTACTCTCGCTTTCATTTTCTTCCTCACTTGTCTGAAGCTGCCAGGAAGGGAAGTATTAAAAAAAAAAACAACAAAGTGTGGCAAGATTGCAGTTAATATTTCTTTACTTCCCAACTGTAGATGCCCACTTGAAATAACATGACTCATTTTATAAATCCTTTGATCTCCTATGACTGATTTAAAATGCTGCTTCCCAGCAGGCATAAGGTGGTTTTACTTTCATTTGCAACTCCCCTTCTCAAGGTTTCTAGCCACAGCTTTGAGTGAAGAGAAGAAAGAAAGTGAAAACAAGTAAATCGGCCTGGCTGAACATTGGCAAAATTTACCTTCAGCTGTTCTTGACTATAACTTTTGGATGACTGGTCTGTGTCAGGAAAAAAAAGTTGTTTTTTTTTCATTTGCTTTGATTGTGTATTTGATTTTTGTTTTTTTTTCTTTTTTTCTTAGCTTTTCTTTCCCTTTTTTCTTTGTAAGCCTCTTCTTAGGCAATTTTTCCTGTCCCTTGTCATGTATTCTTATTTATAGACCAACTTAGCTGCATGAGCAGTGGGGAATGTGCTCTTGTAACCTGTAGTTTTCTGGATTCTGAATTCAATTTGTTCTTCTGGGTTTCAATGAAGCAAGAAATTTTAACTTTAATCTAGAAGCTGAATCCAGCTAGATATCTGTAACTGAGGCTTACTTTAAAGAACAATAAAAAATGGCAAAAATATAAAGTGGACATCAGTTCTGTTTAATGTATAAATATTCTTTTTTTGTTTTGCTTTAAATCTGTGAACTTTGTCTTTATTTCCTGTCACATTTTGAATTCATGAAACAGAACAAAATGATTACATGCAATTTGAAGTAGGTTCATGTAGGCTAGTCTTATTCTTGGAGGCAAAGCACACCAATTCCAGCTCCTGGGATATGGATGGGTAGCCTTCTGAGCCCTAGTAGAGTTCTGTTTGCCTGTTTCCTCATCATCTCTAGACAGGTTCTGATGTTTCTTGCCTTTCCTCACTCTGTTTCCCCGCTCACAAAATGCTTGTCAGGCATGATTTCTTGTTGCTCAAAGGTAATGATTTACTATAGCCCCATGCAAAAGGCAAAATGATTTAATTTTCTTTCATGCTGTGCTGAAGAAGTGTGTTCCCGCTGAGGGCTGAATTGGCATCTCAGAAATCATAGCATGGCCCTCAGTATTCCCCAACACCCTAAATACAGCTCACCGTATTTTGTGGAATGAAGCATCTGGTTCCTCAGGCCTTTAGTGTCTCTCCTCTGCTTTCAAGACTGGTTTCATGAGAATAACATTTCTAGACAGTGATAGTTTAAAAGGATGATGTAGATTTGTGCGCTGTGAGTTGTAGTCTGGTGGAGAAAGGGCAATGGGCAATTCCCAACAAGCAAGACAGCAAGAATGTCTGAAGCTTTGAGCTTTTTCTCATCGATTTTCTCTTTGGCTTACTTTAGGGCTGGGCTTCAACATTGTTGGTGGGACAGATCAGCCATACATTTGCAATGACAGCAGCTTCTATGTCAGCCGGATCAAAAAGAATGGGGCAGCTTACCTTGATGGCCGATTACAAGAAGGAGATAAAATTTTAGCGGTAAGCCCTGTCCTCTGTCGCCCCGTGTGTTCTTGAAGTGCTGTTATCAGTGATGTGATACAAGAGGCAGGTTTGCCATCGCAGTGCACAGAGAGGAATGATGTGGTCAATGCAATTAGGTGATGCTGAACAGTCTCCATGGAGGAGCTATCTTGGGGGTCTGGGGAGAGCTTTGAGTGCTGCCTCCATACATGTGCTCATCTCTTTTGCCTTCTTGATTTGTCTCAGAAGCACTCCTTGGTGCTGCATTTGTGTTTCCTCTGTGACTTGCCTTCCTAAGGTTATAGAATCCATCAGAATTTGTCTTGTTCACAATGGATTGTCATTAATACACGTGTAAATAAAGGTTTTCGATTTTTTGACTTGTAATCCATGATTACTGATCCTTTTGCTCATGGGGATTTTTTAACTATAAAACCTCTAGGCCAAAAAATTCTTGTCTTCATTTCAGCTCCTGAGGAATAATACAGGCTGCTTCTCCTTTTAGAAAAATGTTTTAAGATGACTGATGTTCAGTCCCACTGGTTCTTCAGTCAGTTGGTAATCATACAAGACAATATGCTTTACCAAGTGATGGGTGAAGAAGTAGCATCTTCTAGTGTGATACACAATCTTTAAATACTCCCTAATTTTATTTTACACTTGATTATTATGTTCCACATGCAATATTTTTAGCCTCTATAGACTGCCTTGCACTAGTTGGAGCCTATTACTGATCCATAAAACAATCCTATGTTAAACAGAGAATATTATCCTATCTTTTCTTGACAGTTTAATATTTATGTACTTGTGTTTGGGGTATCTAAATATGAAAGAGAAGGGAGGTGCTGGATGTGATCTTGGGGGATACAGTTATGGGTAATGGGGATGAAAATAAAAAATTAGGATGAATATAATCACTTAGTGAATGAAATCAAGTAGGCTATAAAGCCTTCTACCATGATGTATTATTTTAATTTAAGAAAAATCCTACCACTTTCAGGGGGATGCCAATAGGTATATAAGTGTTTTTGTTTTGTTTTGTTACATCAGTGTGCTTTTAAATGTGTGTTTACAACATATTCTCAAGCAGTGGGATTTCAAAGATGCACCCATAGAGGGAACAATGTGGGAAAGAGACTCATAATAATAATTTTGCTGTGGCTGCTCTTTTGTTTTCATTAGCTGTCAGAATCACACCTTTGATTTGTTTCCAGTAAAGCAACAGCATCAGAAGTTGCTATTGACACAACTGTGGTCTTATATTCTGATTTTGCTTCTAGGTAGTTTTTTTAAGTATCCTCAGTGTTTTGGCTTGAAGTTTCTCATGTTCTGCCTCATCATATAAAAATTCATCTATAATATGAGGGGATGAATATGGATATTGCTGATTATAGTATCATGCCCCAAATGCAGAATTTTGTGAAAGATGAAGATTTTTATCTCCTTCCTATGTTAGGCTGCATCATTAAAAATTTGCTTTTTTTTGTCTTCAGCATCTGGTTCTCCTTTTCCTTTTTTGCTAGGTCAATGGCAAAGACTTGAAGGATTTGCGGCACCAGGATGCTGTGGAACTGTTCAGGAACACAGGCTATGATGTGTCTCTGAAAATTCAGCGCAGGGTATGTTTTACCTGTTTCTTAGGGTTATTTCTGGCTCAGCTTAGACTGGTTTTTATGATTGGTAGCTGTCTGTTTCATAAGGAAGAAGAGTACTGTGTCCAGGTGCTCAGTGTGACATGTGCATATAAAAATCTTGTTTGACATAAGGCCTTCTCTAGTTGCCATGGCTGTAATTGTCTGTGTATTGCTTTGTAACAGTATCAGTGAAGAGATGAGTTTGGAGAAGTCTCCAGATTTTTGTTTTGGTGGAGTATGGTGTGTTTGCTCACAGATCTCCTTTCTCAGAGGTAAAGGTTTGTCTGCGAAGACAGAATCTCAAGTTCTCCAGTTTTGTTTCAATGGCCAAAATCTTACTGGACACAGAATTCCTCTGTTGTTTTCAGAGGTCATCACTCATGTTAGTGTAGAGGTGTGTGTGTGGCCACCACTACAAGAAAGACACTGAGGTGCTGGAGTGTGTCCAGAGAAGGGCAGTGAGCTGGTGAGGAGTCTGGAGTACAAGTCTTATGAGGAGCAGCTGAGGGAACTGGTGTTGTTTAGTCTGGAGAAAAGGAGACTCAGGGGAGACCTTATCGCTCTCTACAACTGCCTGAAAGGAGGTTGTAGGGAGGTGGGTGTCAGTCCCTTCTTCTGAGTAAGAAGCAATAGGACAAGAGATGTCCTTAAGTTACACCAGGGAAAGTTTAGGTTGGCTATTAGGAAGAATTTTTTCACTGATTGTCAAATGTTGGAACAGGCTGTTGAGGGAAGTGATTGAATCACCATCCCTGGAGGCATTTAAAAAATGTGTAGATGTGGGGCTTAATTTAATGGTGGACTTGGCAGTGCTGGGTTAATGGTTGGATGTGATGATCTTAGAGGTCTTTTCCAACCTAAAGGATTTTACAGTTATACAAAATGTTGACTGCTATAGTTTGAATGTACTGGCACTATTTGAGATATAAGCAGAGAGGAATCGTTAATCCTCTGTTAGCATTGAATCCTTAATTCCAGGGTAGCATTGAAATTGACAAAGGAAATGCTGATCAACCTCAAGCATGCTGGTGGGGAGAGGGGGGTTGAGATCCCTTTTCTACTCTCTTAGCAAAGGAGTAAGTCTTCTGGACCAGCGTACAGGGTAGGTAAGAAAAACAGAGATAACTAGTGATGTCCTTTTCCTCGTAATGGGCAGAAAGTGGTGTGGTGGGAAGTGATCAGTGGATGACTGGGTATGTGTGTGTTATTGCTTCTGCTGTATCCTGCTACAGTATGTTAGAGTCCTAGTTTACACGAATATGACTGCTAGTGACTGGTACTCTGCAGTTAAGCTCAGTCCATCTAAAGCTGTTTTAACCTTCCCGTGTGTGGAGTTCACAGATAGTGGGGAAACTATCTTGAACATCCTTATGGAAACACCTGGTCCAGACACCAAACTGGAGGGTCTCCTGTGATGGGTTCTGACACAAATAACTTTTTTTTTCCTTGTAGTTGCAGCCACAAAATGGCCCTGTGGGTCATCAAAGCGATGGAGAATCAGGTGGGCTTCCTCTAGCAGCCATTCTTGTGCCAGGCTTGGCGCTTGCCGCAACAGCAGTCTGGATCTTGCTGAGGTATCGACAGCGGATGTGAAGAGTTCACGTTTGGGATATCACTGCGTATTTTACACAGCTATGATGTAATTTAAACGTAGAGAATCAACAATCGTATCACAGACTGATGTCAAAAAGGATCATTGCCTATCATCAAAGCTGCTGCTGATGTTCTTATATATTGATTTTGTTACAGGGTTGATGGAAACAGAGAGAAAAAGGGGAAGGGAGAAGACTATTTATGTGAAGAGTGGGATAGTTGTTTTTTTGACAAATCTGAGGAGTTTTTGCCACCCTCCTCTATTTTGCACCACGAACTTTCAAACACACTCATCTATTCCACATTTTAAGATGTAACTGTTGGTTAAAGGGTGAGGGAGTTGGGTGGTTTTAAATCAAAAATATTTTCTAGAGGCTTTGCCCTTGTTTCCACAGAATTTTTCCTTGAAACTAATGATCCCTGTCTGAAGCATGAATAATAAAAGGCAATACAGAGGGTATATTATTTTTTCCATTGAATTTTTGTTGGTTGTTGCTAAATAAGTACCTTAAGAAAAATGTGTAAAATCTTATATGTGGTTTTGCAGGTAAAATCATCGGCATAACTGCTGATTTAACAGTGATATGCAGTATTGGTGAGGTATTTTGCCAGTTGTGGAAAGACAGAAGATAGCCTGCCACTAGAAAAAGGTTTTGTTTGTCAAAATGTCTGCTCCTTCTTGAGTCAGGGTTGTAAGAGAAAGCTTTCCACAAAATGGTAGCATACTGGAGAGAGACAGACAGACAACTGATTCACAAGGGTAAGTGGAGGCAAGAGATTTGAGCATACTGAAGCTGCAGAAGAGCCTTTAAATAGTAATAAAGTCCCTCCATTCATCAACTGGATTAAGTCTGCATCTCTCAGGTTAAAGGTCTGGTTTGGGGGTTATTTTTTTCATGGGGAATACTTCAGATTAAAACATGATGTTCAGTTAGAACATCTCATGATGATTGAAAGAGAGAAGCTGAGAGCAGGCTGGGATCATCCTGGCTATTGCTTGCTTGTGTTGTATGATGTTCAGGAGATAGACTGGCAGCTTTAAGTCAGGGTAAACCTTCGCAAGTAAAACCAGAGGGAGAGACCATTGCTATGGAAAGCACATGCTGAATTTACCTGCGGGGTCTCATTGTCGTTACTGTGATTTGAATAGTTTTAAATGCCCCGGCTGATATGAGCTCTGTGGGGTAAGACCTGTTTCTCTTGTCTCCAAGAAATCAATATGTTTTGGTTTTTTTGTAAAAGAAAAGCAGAATGCATGGTCTGGTCTGTATGATGCCAAAAAAAAAAGTCACCTATGCAATATATGTATTCAAACAAAGAAAAACTGGTGTCTTGGTGCTTTACTTATCTTCGTTCTTTATTATTCTAGAAGGATATTGCTGATGTGTTTGAAATTGTGGTGTTTGCTCAGGGCTTGTCCTGCTGTCTACCAGAGATAGAAGTGGTATGCTGTTATACATGGCATTCCTAAATCATCGTGGAGTCTCAGAGCACTTGGACCTTATGAAATACTGCTGTGGCCTATAAACTGCTCCAGTGTAATGGGAAGAGGAAATGGGAGGAATTTTGCTCCATGTTCTTAGGGGACTTTAGGAACAGACTTGAGGTTTGTTGAATATATATTGGTGTCAAATGGCCTGGGCTGATGCATGCAGGGACTTGCCTCGGCCTGCAAACCAGTTATGCCTGATAGCAGCAGGGCTGCTGTTCAGACAGATCATTGCAGGTACAGCATGAACCAGCTTGTTTGTCTGTGACCTTCTCTGAATATTTGTCTGTGATGTCCATGTGGAGCACATGTGTGTATTAAGAAGGATGATTAGCAGTCAATGGTGTTGTATCACAGCCTTCAGAATAAAGATGCAGACAGTAAGGAAACGGCCCATCTGGAACAAACTTCGTGTTAGCCCTTGCCTGAGCTATGTTTTTGTGATGAGAAGGAGTATGTGGAAAAGGCTAGGAGGATGAGGATTTGCAGAAGGGAATTGATAGTTTCACTCATTTCTCATTGAAGTAAGAGAAAGCAAAGCCTTTGGGTTTTTTTGTTCATTTGTTTGTTTTTTTAACCTTTCTGCTTTGGGACTTTGATACTGTTCAGACATGATTGCCATCTGTGTTGCAGCCGTTTATTATAGGGAGAGGGTTACATCCAATGCCCAGATAATGGTGTGACTTATTGACCAAGAAAGGCTCTTCTGGTGCATAGTGTTCCTTTGGATTTCTTTTCACAATTACAGAATAATTTTAGTACCACAGCATTCAGTCAGTAGCTTTTCCAGAAATTTGAGTAGTAGTTTTTACTCAGAATTTAAACCATCCAGTCTAGCAGTCAGGAACACCTTTCTGTGTCTGCCTCCTTCAAACCAGTGCCTAAGGAGTACCCTTTTCCCAGCCCTTCTTGTCCCATTTATTGGCAAAATCCGAGGGGAAAATACCTCAGCCCCAAACTCTCCTGCAAACTGTGTCTCATATTACTTTCTCTCAGCAGCTTAACTGTCTCATCTAAACTTTCTGGTTTGTCCAGTCTTTTCCACTGTGTGGTTTCTGTAGCCTTGAGTTTAATCTTTGCACAAAATGCTGTATATACATTTTCTATCATTGTGGAAGAAGTGGATTAAAAAAAAAAATCTAGTGAGAACAGCTTGTAAGTACAAGTGATCAGAGAGAGTTTTAGCTTTTGTAACAACTTAAATCTCTAAGATTTAGAAAAAAGGTAAGTTGAAATCTTTAAGATAAACATAAAAACTGTTCATTTGTTTGTTTTTTTTAAGAGCTCATTTGCCCTTAATACTGAGGGCAGCTGAAACTTTTAAATCCCCATGTTTCTCTCCCATTCTCCTCTGGGTCCCTCAAATGTATTGTGAAGTTACTCGTCTGCTGAAGACTAGATTTTCATATTCATAGTTTAAAGACAAATCTGTCTAGCTTGACTTCCTGTATATTCTAGGCATTCGTGTCTCAGAGTCTTCAGAACTGTGTGTGCTAGTAATACATATTTTACTAGGGCATAACAGTGAGAAAAAGCAGCCAGACTTGATCTGAAGATTGGTAGGTGCATTACTTCAGAGACTTTTTAATTAACACAAACTAGAAGGGAGTGTGTGGGAGTGACAGGTGTGTTGCTTTCAGTTTGCCTTTAGGTTCCAGCAACTGGTTTGTTAGGTGGTTCTGTGCTAGATTAAAGAGGCCTCTAGTAACTGATAGTCCCTCCCTTTGAGGAGATTTGTGTGCTGTAGTTGCCTTACCTTACACATTATTTTTAAGAAAAGAAGTCAACTGAGCCCTTTAATATTCTCAGTGTAGGGTACTTTCTCTCTTTGAGTAGTTTCTGTGGCTCTGTACTATTTCCAGTTTCCGTAATGCTTTGTATAATCCAGACACCCCAACCACATGGGATTCTCACTATTGACAGTGCTCATACCCTATAGTAGGAGTTTTTAATATAATTTTACCTTTAAAATTTTTTTGTTAAGGTACAGATAGGTGCAAAACAAATTTAAGCAATTCCTAAGAGCTTGCTTTTCTTAAATAACTTTTACAAGTATCTTAGGAGTGGCATAGAGCTTTCCCCTTCTTCAGTTGCAGCCTCAGGTGCCCTAAGGAATCTGTAAACCATAGAAAAAACAACATTGCCACAGGAGGGGTAAATTCTCTTAATTCCATTTTGTAGGTCAAAAGAGCAATTCTGCTTGGTCGTAGTGTGACACCAGAAATGAGTGTTAAGTATTCCAGCTTCTAAATCCTTGTTCGTACCTGATGTGACCTGCGTAGTGTGGGGGAAGGTGTCTGACTTAGCATTCTGTTGAATGATTGCACCTCCTGTTTGCACTGTGGAGTGCTGTGTGCACTGACCAGCCCAGATTACTCTATGTGTCTTGTCTGCTGTGTTATTTTCCAGCCCACTACCTTTAGCAGTACAGGTTTTGAATTCTGCTTGATCATCAACAAAAATACCGAATGGAGTTTGGTATGGGGACAACTTCCCTCCATGGTTATGATTTTTCAGTAACTGTTGGTATCTCTGGATTATTTGATTCTTTGTCTGTTTAATGGATGCATTTTGATGATGGATGGCGTTGATTTTTTAACAATACATGTATTGGCATGTTGAGTAGTACTAAGTAGATTATATCTGAGTGGTCAGTAAACTTCATCTGTTCTCTTGCTGACAGAAGCTGATACCAGGGTAAGAATCAGGTCAGGTGAGCTTTATGAGCCAGTCTTTTTCCTGTCCTCTTTCCTAATTTATTGATGTGGGTTTTACCTGTGGAAGTAATTTTCCTGTACTCAGGATGAAGGAAAGAGCAGATAACTTGCTAATGGGACAGTGTCCCACAGGCTGGGGGCCCAAGGGAAGGCTTATGTGGTGAAATCTGAAGGAGGGCCTTAACTATACCCTCGTCCGTGCCGAAGTGCTTGGTGCGTGTCATCCCCGGAGCTCTGCTCGCTCTCTGCATGTGCAGCTGAGACCTGAGGGGGACTCCAGGTCTTTCAATGCTTCTTTCAAGACAGAGCCATATATGATGAGAACATATACAGTTTTAAATGAAGAGCAATGCTGTACAGGCTCAGAATATCTTTCCTTGTCAAATTTGAAAGCTTTTGCACTTGCTGCTGTAGCTTTAACTGGTGACAGGCAAACATCGCTGTAGAGTGACCGTATCTGTCTTACCTGGCTACCAAAACAAACTTTCCTAGATTGAAGCTCTTAGTAAAGAAGAGTAACTGTGCTGAGTATGGAGAGTAGTTATTCAAAGTGGTATGTGAATTATTTGAGATAATTCATGGAGCTTTCATGTTTGTTTTTGTGTCCCAAGTCTTCCAGCCTGGTTTGGTTTGGTGATGTTCTCTTCCCTGTCATCTCTCTTCACCACCTCTCAACATCCTTAAAGATGTTTTTTTAAGTTTTAAAAGTTGTTAACATGGGGATTCCCAGGAGGAACTGGACACTATATGAAAGAATTATTTGCTTAAGTAGTGAAATATTTGCTGTCCCACTTAAGTACATAGGCTATGTGGGAGTCCAGATGCAGTATATGAAATAGGGGATCCAGTTACCTCAAATGATCTTTCGCATTCATCATTCCTCAGCATGTTTTAGTAAACTTCTAAATCACTGAAACATAAAACAGGATAGGAAAGAGGATAAAAGGATCACAGTATTTAAGGCTTCTTTCACGTCCTTCTTTTTAAATATAGCAAGTTAGTACAAAGTTTGGGAATACGGTTCAGAAATTTAATTTTTAAAGGTGCGTAGTAATCCATGGATGTTTTTCTTCTTTCATTGTGTAAATAATACTCTTCAGAAAGGGTTCTAAGGAGTGTAGATAAGACTTTGTGCAGTTCTGCTTATGCTCCTTCACAGACTACTATCAGCTGATGCACAAAAATGCTGGTCACGCACTGTGACGGCAAAGATAATACTTTTGTCTGTAAAGTGCTCCTATACAAGGGAAGTATGTACATATTCTTGGCTTTGCCACGTTGAGGTTGCATAGGAAAGGATTGCTTACATCAGATAGGAAGT